GTCTACGTACTTGTACTCTGGCTGCAGGAAAAAGGGAAGGCAGAGCTAGGGTTCAACATCCACACCTCGGCCTCACAGTGCGTAGGGAGGAGGGGCTCTCTCGGTACCAGGGTGGGCATGAGTCTTACCCTGGCCCTGCCTCCCAGTTTATTCCACACCCAGAAGGACAGGCACGCCAGACCACAGTTCAGATAAGGCATAGTCCCTTCCCACCTGCTTGCCACGGGGCTGAAACATGGACAGATCTGAGTGGAATCTTAGGCACCATCTAGTCCAGAGGTGGCGAACCTTTTGAGCTCGGCGTGTCAGCATTTTGAAAAACCCTAACTTAACTCTGGTGCCGTGTCACATATAGAATTTTTTTGATATTTGCAACCATAGTAAAACAAAGACTTATGTTTTTAATATTTACTTTATATATTTAAATGCCATTTAACAAAGAAAAATCAACCAAAAAAAAATGAGTTTGTGTGTCACCTCTGACACACGTGTCATAGGTTCGCCATCACTGATCTAGTCCATCACCCTATTTTGTAGCTAGGGAAATTGAGGCTCAGTTAGAGCAAGGGACTCACTCTTCATCACACAGCTGGCAAGGGGTGGAGCCAGGCTTCAAACTCAGTGCCCGGCCCTTTCCACTATACTGCACTGCCTCTGTGTGATGGGCAGTGCCCAGGCTTCGGCAGCACACGGTGCTGGGTTTGAATCTGGCTCCACCACTTACTAGCTATGTGACGCTGTGCAAGTCACTGAACCTTTCTGAGCTGCAGAAAACACCAGAAGTTAGAGAAATGCTCCTTCCCTCTCCCCACCCTTTTGCCAGGAGCTAGAAAGGGGGCTAGAATCTGGAAAGGGTCCTGTGCAGGAGGGTCCCCTCCTACCCCACTCCCCAGCCCACCTCCCTCTGTCCCCAGCTCTGACCTTGAAGTATAAAATATAGGCTGCCACCAGGACGCCCAAACTCTGCAGCAAGTCTCCGATCACATGGATAAAGGCAGCTCGGACGCTGGGGTTCTCCTGCTGCTGGGTGGTGTCGTGGCTGTGCCCTTGGCCGTGGCTGTGTCCGTGCCCTTGGCCGTGGCTGTGTCCGTGGCTAGACTGGTGAAGAGTCAATCCCATTCTACGGAAGTGGAGACAACGCCAAAGGGCTCACTGAGATGGAGGGCAGAGGCTTCAGATCAGCCAGGTAAAGGCTACTCGTGAGGGCGGGCCTCCCTGTGGGGCTAAAAGCCCAAAGCCCCAGACTGCATGACCCCTTTGACTATGTGAGGAGCCTGACCAGACCCACGAGGCCTTGGTTCAGAGTGCCACAGGAGAGAGGGCTCAACTCCAATGCCAGGCTGAATCTGGGCACAAAGATGCCCAGTGCCACGTCTCAGAGCAGAACACCATGGAGTCATCAGCCCCCCCCCACCCCCACCCCCCCCCCCCCCCCCGCGGGGGCCACAGACAGGAAGCCGAGTCGTAGAGGAGTGGCTTGCTCTAGGCCACGGAACAAGGGAGAGAGAACCCAAATAAGACAGATGCGCTACACACCCTGCCTCTCACTGAGACCAACTTCAACCACATCCACTTGAAAAAGAACTTGGACTCTTCCCCAGGGGACATCTGCTCCTACAAGAACTAGACTAACCCCTCCCCACCTCAGGTATGAAGCCTCCCAGGTTATCACCAACACGTGTGGTGTGGGGTGGGGTTGATGCTGCCCCAGACTTACAGTTCCTGATGGTGTGGGCCCAGGCCTGAGGCAGAACCCAGGTGTTCCAGATGCTAGAGCTCAGACCGTTAGGAAAATTCTGTTCCTGTAGCTCAAGCAGGTCAAACTTTCGGCCCACAACGAATATTTTTGCAGCCCAGCCAATAAACTGGTATGTAAAAAACTTTTTAATAAAAATTTCGTAACTTGCCCTAACCGGGTAGGCTCAGTGGATAGAGCATCTGCCTGCGGACTGAAGGGTCCCAGGTTCAATTCCGGTCAAGGGCATGCACCTTGGTTGTGGACACATCCCCAGTAGGGAGTGTGCGGGAGGCAGCTGATCGATGTTTCTCTCTCATCGATGTTTCTAACTCTCTATCCCTCTCCCTTCCTCTCTGTAAAAAATCAATAAACTATATTAAAAAAAAATTTTGTAACTTAATTTTTACAATATCCTGTTATACATAATTATTAATAACGAATGAACTATAACGTTCGCTAATGACTGATTACTATAATCGTGTTGCATTCATTTCCTTTATGTGCCTTATGCACAGGCACACCATTTCTCTCCATTAACACTAGCAGCGAATATTTTAGCAGCCGATTGCCATGTCATTACTCTTGGACTGACTGGTGTGCGCAACAGGAAATATTTCGCTTTCGGAGAACAAGAAAAATAGGTTTATTTGCGTTATGCTTATTAATTTGTGCAGTTTCTCAGTGTCTGGTAAGTTAATGTTCAAGAAAAAAATATTAATTTTTATTAAAATGTTCTATTATTTTATGTTAACGATTACTCATTTCAGCCCTTTGTATTCAGCATGTCTCTATGGAAATGAACCTACGTTTCTATGAAAAGTGAAGCTGTTGTTTTGTTGCGGCCCACATAAACTTAAACCTTGCTTATTTGGCCCGCGTGAGCCTTTGAGTTTGAACTCCTGTACTGGAGTCCGGCTGCCCTGTTTCCACCAGAAGGCACACAGGTCTGCACGTGAGGAACGGGAGGAGGGAGGACTCACATGATGTTCACGGCCACGGCGCAGCCCGCTGTTATCAGCATGGTCTTCCCCTCGATCTCGTAGTTCCCAGAGATTAGCCGCTCTGCTGCCAGGTACACCAGCACCCCAGTCACCACCCAGATGGACAGCACAGACAGCAGGGCTCCCAGGATCTCTGAGGAAGAGCCAACCCCAACACCAATCTCAGTGTGGAGCCCGAAGGCTGAGGAGACCCCTGTCCCAAGTCAGGGCCTGGGTCTGCTTGGGCTCTGCTGCAGGTATGGCTGCACCTTATCCCACCACTCAAAGGTCTGACAATATCAGAGCTAGGAGTTAAGTCATTTAGCTCAAGACTTTGTTTTACATGTAATGAAAATGCCTTTTTAAAATGTATACCTGTTTAAAGCCTGTATCCTCCAGAAAGCTTTGCTGACCTTTCCTGCACCCGCCCCGCCCCCCCTTTTAACGCCCCGCCCCCATTTGTTCTTGAAGTTTGCCCACTTCATTTCATTGGAAGGTGAACTCTCCTTCCCCCCCAGACTGGGAGTTCCCAGAGGACAGAAGCCAAGTTTGACATTATCCTCCCCCATGAAAGTTGCTCTCCTGGCCTCACTCAGGGGATCCACCTGAGAAACCATATCTTGGCCTGTCACTCTTCCAACCCCAACCCCATTCAGACCAGGGCCCTCACCAGCTCGCTGCCAGCCGAAGTTCATGGTCTTGGTGGCTGGCCGGGAGGACATCCAGAGAGAGAAGAGGCTGATGAGCATGCTGGCAAAGTCAGTGAGCAGATGGGCTGCATCAGTCATGATTGCCAAGCTGTGTGCTAGGTACCCACCTGCAGGGGAGTGATAAGAATGGAGGGTCCCCGTCAGCTCCCCAAGGAGACACTGATACTCACTGCAAGTACTTTCTCCGAGCCTCAATTTCTACCATCTGTGAAATGGGACTAACAACATCTACTTACAGGGTGAATGTGAAAATCAAGTTCAGATAGGGCCTGGGAAACATAGTAGACATTCAGTAAATGCTCTTTCCTTTCTAGGCACTCAGCCCTTCCCTTACCTACTAGTTTTGTGTAATCTTGGGCAAATTGCATCACCTAAATGTACCTGTTTCAAGATCTATAAAATCAGGAGACTAACAGCACTCATGTGACAGCACAAGGTTGTTTTGAGGGTTGCATGAGAGGGAGAGAGATAGAGAGTTAGAAACATCGATGAGAGAGAAACATCGATCAGCTGCCTCCTGCACATCTCCTACTGGGGATGTGCCCGCAACCCAGGTACATGCCCTTGACCGGAATCGAACCTGGGACCCCTCAGTCCACAGGCCGACGCTCCATCCACTGAGTATGTCTATAGTAATTGAAAACTAAAGTTCTTAAAAAAAATTAAAAGGAACATAGAATCTTCAGTCTTCAACTATGCCCTTGAACAACACAGGTTTGAGCTGCAGGGGTCCACTCCTATGTGAAATTTTTTCAATAAATACAATTAGCCCTTCATATCCACGGATTTCCCACCTGTTAATTCAACCACCCCCGTGGAAAACTGTACTTTCACATCCCCAAACACGATTTCCTAAACACGGTTTTCCACCTATAGTTGGTTGAATCCATGGATGAGAAGGGGCCAACTGTTGCTAAGTTTTTAGGGAGTCAAAAGTTACACCTGGATTTTCGACTGTGTGGGTAGACACCCCTAACCCCCCACCCCCACTCCACTGTTCAAGTGTCAACTGTATTAATATTGCGGGAACATTCAGGAGAAAAGCCTTTTGGATCATCCAGAGTATCCACGTGCCAATTTCACTTAATTAGCACAAAAGTCCTTACCAACGACTTCCCCAATCATGAACACCAGGCAGATGGCAGAGGCCACATAGAGCTGGCGCCGGGCCCGCTCCTTCTTGGGGTCACCGTGACTGCCAGGACCCTTCTGGGAGTGGCAGTAGTGACTGTTCTCCACGTTCAGCTCAATGGATGGCAAGTCCAGCTCAGGTCGTGACACAGAAATCCAGCCAGCCTCATTCTGCCACAGAGATCCCATATCAGACCTAGCCAGAGAGGAAAGGGTAGACTCAGCTCTGAGATGGGGACGAGGAGGGCTGACCCCAATCCTCTCTCTCCGTGGGGCCTGGGCGTTCCCATGTGTACAATTAGGGGACTAGCTAGGGACACTCCAAGCTCCACAGTCCCCAAGGAGCGACCAGAGGCCCATGTCCGCAGGTGGGTGCTGGGGGAATGACCAGGCTCCAGGAGTCTAAGGGCCGTGGCCCAGATGTTCACTTCTCCCCCATCCCTCCCAGGGCCTGGAGGAGGCCAAGACCTTGGGAAGTGGCCAAGGGGCGGAACCAGGCCAGTCGAGCACGGAGAAGGAACAGAGCTCAGGCCCTGGCAGATGGGCAAACCCCCATCTCGTGCACCTGGGGACACGGGCCCTCCCTGGGCCAGGCTGCCCCGGGGCAAAGTTCCTGGCGGTGGGCGGGGCTCTAGGCTAAGCTCTCCGAACCGGGGGCCGTGGTTAGGCTCTGTGCTCGGCCGCCAAGGGGGGCTGATCCCCGCGCCGCGCTGGGTTTCCCCTCTCCTTCACCTCGCTCCACCCCCCCTGTGTGCACAAACCATCCAGTGCCGCTCAAACCATCCAGGACGGCAAACCAGGAGGTGCGTCTGCAGCTGCTCAGATCCCCACTCCTGCCCAGGCTCTCGCCTTACCGCGCTCCGGACCCGGCGCCCAACAGACGCTGCTTGTCCATGGTCTTCATGCGGCCCCGCGCTGGGGCGGGAAGCCGCGCGCCGACTCCCGCACTGAGACCTGGAAGTTGCGCCCGACGCTGCGCGGGGGCGCTCTCACCTGGGGGGGGGGGCCCAGGCGGGAATTCGGAAGGGGGCCCCGGGGGGCCTTTTTCCGGGGGTCCCCCCGGGGGCCCCCTTTTTAAGGCCGGTTCCGCGGGGTTTGGAAACGGGCCCGCTTTGCCCCTTCTTTGGGTTTGGGCCCAGGCCCCCGGGGGGGAAACCCTTTTTTTTCCGCCCTCCCCCCCCCCCGGGGAAAGGGGCCCCCCCCGGGGCCCCGGGGCAAAAAACCCCTTGGGGAAAGGGGAAAGGGGGGGGCCCGGGGTCAAAAAAAACCCCCGGGGAGGGGGGGCCCCTTCCCCGGGATTTTCCACACCCAGTACCCATCCCCGCGTCCCGGGGACCCGGGAGCCCGCGTAGCTGGCGACAAAGAGCCGAACCGCCTCTACTGAGTTGGGACTGCGCGACGGCTGCGTGCGCTCTTCCCCGCGGGCGTGGGCAGCCGAGAAGTTCTCGATCTTGTTCGTAGGATTAGCTTTGGATCCGGGGAGGGAGGGATGTGGCTCCTGAGGTAGGGTTGTGTCTTCGCCTCCGCGGAGACCCCTGCGCCTTTGAAACAGGGTTGTTTCTGCCCTCAGGCGGCAGCACCTGCAGTGGGCTGCCTCCGCCAGGCTCGGAAGGGTTCTTGGAGCCGGAGCTGCCTCCCTCCGGGGGGGCAATGGCCCTCCTTAGGACTGACTGGGACTGCCCACC